TGCTACTTTTAATGACTCCTCTACAACTTGTTCAGCTGCTCCTGCTGTCGAGTTTATTACCAACGAAGTTGCCGTCGTCGTTGTTGCTGTTGAATTTATAATTGCCGGCTGTTGTTGCTGCTGCTGCTGCTGATGTTGCTGCTGTTGTTGCTGCTGCTGCTGCTGATGTTGCTGCTGTGTTGCTAAAGCTGCGGCTCCACCTTCTGGTATGATTGTTGCAAAAATTTGTTCGCCAAATATGAAAAGATCCTTGGAAATAATCATTATCACCTTTTTGTGAACGCTTTAGCTCGCTGTTGTTGCTGGTTTTTGCCGCCACAGTTTAAATATACGTACGTTTGTATTGCTTGATTTTAAATGTAAATCTTGTTTAAATATATATATAGGTGTATATAGATATATATATATAGGTACGACTTTTTGTTCGCCTGCTGCCTGCACTCGCCTTAAACACGTTTCCTTTACTTTAATGCATTAAACATATTTCGTTGCCTTTGGGTCTTGGGTTTTTGGGGATTTCTTTAAAATTTCATAATTCCCTGGCTTTGTCTGGCTCCTTTTTCTTTTATTTTCTCGAATTTATGGCAGACTGTAATACAGTAAAAGTAGAGGGATAATTAATATGATGGCCTGTTTTTCATAACTTACGAGTTGAATAAGTTGTGATATAATTTTAAAGACACAATGAGAAATTGCACATAACTAGGAAACCTTTAAATAAATCCTTACTTTTTCTGATGAAACTAAAAAAGCTGTATTACAACTGAGAACCTCTTTAAAAATTTAGAATTTCACTAGATTATTATTATTCTTTTTAAAACAAACGAACAAGTTCAGGGAAAACTCAGATTTAATGCTGGCATAGATAATCACAAATTTACCTAGAACAGACGTATTTCAATGTTTATAATTGGTTTTAAGCCCTTATGAACCCCATGGAATGCGTTTTTAATTTTTATACTTTCATTAAACATTAAATTGGAATTAAATTGTTCCCAGAAATGCTGGATTGGATATGCACATATGTAAAATCCCCTGTTACTTGCAATGTTTACCAAGCCAAAATGTACAAAATAACTGGAATCAGATGTTATTTGTTCCGCTTCAAACTTTTCACTTCAATTTAAGTATCATTTCGCAAAAATATTCTCCAATTCAAATAACTCAAATGTAATTAAACTTCAAAAATATTAGTAGCGTCTCCTCGAAAATTTAATTTTCCCTTGGCTCTTTGGCTGGACAACTTTTCCGACAATTTCCTATATGCAGTGCCAACGAAAAAGCAAAAGATAATGAAACAGAATTGAGGAGAATCAGGGAGAAGTGGAGACGCTTTGCGAATTTTGTTATATTTGCCAATTAGCCCGCGCGAAACAAAGCGCCAGAGCAAAACGTCAGTTTTCATCTTGTGCAATTTCGATGTGTGTTTGAATAAAATACAAGGTAAAGTAACAAAAACAACGCACCCAAAAAGCGAAGGAACGTAATAAAAATTCTTCTTTTCTCTTTTTTCCGAATGTGATATTAAAAATCGTCAGCACTTTTTTTTCGAGCAATTTAAACGATTTTGCTGTTTTGTTTTATTCAATTAAACATATGTAGGTTTCTTGTAAACATTTTTGATAACACGCGTGTTAATTTTTTGTTTTAGGGGGGGGGGAGGTTTTTTTTTAGGGGGACTTGTAAAGCCGAACCGAAAAAGACGGACAGATCGAGCGAATAATGGGGGATACGTAGAAACGTAAGACGTTGGAACAACACGACGAAAACCAGAGAGCTATACCGCTTTTCCACACAACGCGAGTTCGGCGCGCTTGAGCATTGAAGAAAACATCCAACGCTGCCCGATTTCGATCTCGTACTGAACCGATCGTGGGGACCGTTAAAGCTAAACGCTCGCGCTCCCGCTCCAAAGACCGCTGCCGCCGTCGACGTCGCTGCCCATCTCATGAATGACATTCATTCTCGTTCTCTCCGGCGCTCGTCGAACTCTCGAACTCTCCCGTACTCGCCACCTACGATCCGTCCGCACGTGCGAATGGAGCTTACTAAAAAAATTTGAAGGCCCTTCAAATTATATTAATAAAGATAAATACTTAAAATACAGAATGCGCTCGTTTTAGTAATCCACGCATAGGCAATTCTCCCGAAACCTATATTGGAAACTATGAATATTAATACAAAATTTTTTTTTTTAATATTGAAAGTTATCTTAAAAGAATCTATATATTTTTGCAATGCCCCAAACTAATAATAATACACAATTAAAACCTTGTTCCTAGTTCTATATAATTTTTTAAACGTCATGGAAATAATATAGTTTTATTTAACTTTCCTTGTCATATAGGTTTTTTCTTCAAGTGTATTCCCACTGCATCTTCTCTCTCTCGCTCTTCATTCATTACATGAATGTTCCTATCCTAGTTCCATCATCCTAGTTAGATATATTTTTTTAATCGCCATGGAAATAATATAGTGTTATTTAACTTTCCTTGTCCTATAGGTTATTTCTTTGAGTGTATTCTCACTGCATCTTCTCTCTCTCGCTCTTCATTTATTACATGAATGTTAAGTTGCCTTGCCTAACATTATTACAAATGTTATGGTCCTACAGCCATACAATTTCACCTGCTTTTCCTTAACATGCCCTGTTAGTTCCATGTTATCGTCTTACATTTCCTGTAGAACACTGATAATTCTGGTTGATAAATAATACAAGTCAATAAAAAAAGTTGGTGTGTTGGTTCGGCTGATCTCGAATTTCGACTTGACGATAGAAATTTAAGGTCTTGATTGGCAACCCAGAAGTCATTCAACAAGTTTCGAGACGTTTTTAGAGTAGCGAACAGCTTTTCGTCGATTTAATGTCTCGAATTTGACTCATGTGTGAGTGGGTAATGCTGACTTTTTGTTCCGGTTATCTATTTAAAAAGATTGTAAAGTTGTTTCAAAAGCAACATAAATTCTATAAGTTAAGAAAATCTATTGAGAAGGAAACAAAATTCTCCATCAAACAATATTTAACATGCCATTTGGCTTAGATACTTAAGTTTTGTAATGAAGTTAACAAAAATATTTTTTACTTTTTTAAAATCATTTCAGTATAGTTTCTTACTGAGTAACCTAAAAGGGGATTTCTTAACCTACATATATGCACTCATAGTTTATAGATCTCTAGAAAATTCTCTTTAGTCCGCACACTTTATAATTTCTTTTTAATTCTGTTAGGCAAAAGCCAGCTTTCCAATCTTATCAGTCATTAAACTCGGCGAGGGTAAACGCTGCGTATACGCAATTTGAATGCGTATACGAACCGTGTGTGCGTGCAATTCGCGTATATATGTATGTGTGCGACTGTGTGGGTGGGCAAAAAAGGGAAAAGAGCTAGAGAGAGATGGAGAAAGGAAGAAAGAGAGAGGGAGAAAGAGGAGATTACACTTGGCACTTGAAACAATAATAAAATAATAAAATTTTAAAATGTGTCAGCTGTTGGGTCGTTGACCAAATCATATGGAAAATAACGCACAATTGCATATTAGGCCTAAATAATGATGATTGTTCAGTTTGTAGCTTTAAGTTTATTGTGTTGCCATAAACTTGAAGCGAAAAAAGTCGCCAAGTTGCGGCCATTTGTTGTTGCAGTCTGTGCTCATTTTTATTTCTTTTTTTTCGGTGCGTAGCTCTCGGCTCTCCATATAAAAAAAATATTTTTTCCTGTTGCTGTGTTGGTGGTTTTTTTATTGTTGTTTTTTATATATGTGCAAAATGTGCGAGACACGCATACACTGCCAGCAAATTCACGCACACGCACTTGCTCTTAACCTTGAAAAATAACACAGCCAATTTGTTGTTGTTCCCGTTGATTTCTGACAGCTTTCTTTTTGTTCTTGTTTCCATTTTTTAGTAAACTTTGTTTTTGTTCCACCGCTGATAAGATTCGTATTTTTCTCCTTAATTTGCTCTTTTTTTTGTGGAGTGCGTAAGTGCGTGTTGTTGGCCTTTTTCGTTCAGTGTATGCGTGTGCGAACAACAAGTATTGAGGCTCTAGACAAATTTTATTAAGCAAATTGCCGGGAATATGAATAATTTGTTGGTATTCCAATTTAGTTTCTCTTGTTTTTAGCTAAAATTCTTTTAATTTAGTTTGTCAGTCAAATATTGATATATATCTACAAATTTAGTGAACAGCTGGGGTCAAAATTATAGCAAATAGTTTTTTTTTAAGGAAATGAATAGGTTTACAGATTATTTAAAGATTTTACACAAGTTCTTTATAAATGGATATTACTCTTAAAATTTGTTTTAATGAAAATAATAATTTTAAAAATGTGTATTTATAACAAAAAGTTTCCTCTGGACTTACCACCTATATAAGGACAAGTAAATTCTTATTTTCCTACATCGAAGAACCGTTGAATGGCTTTCAGTATTTCACAAATTGTTCCTGATTTTTATGAGGTTTAATGAACTTGAACTCTTATCAGTCAGTCAGGTTGGGATTTCTTGATATAGCCCATGGGGGGAGCTGTAATGCAACAAAAGAAGCGACACAAAAAAAGTCGGTGATCTTACTCATTCGGCGTCATGTGAATTTCTTATAGGCTTTTGAACTTGGTTGGGAAATAAAACAGGGCAATCGAAAGTGGGTCGAAGCCATTTATAACTCACTTCCTGACATACTGCGTCGCTGTTAGACTTAAAAATAGATTGATAAATCTGGTAAAAACAGGAATACTATTATTAGTGTACATCCCAATAATAAGCTATATACCCTCTTCGAAACTTTACTTTACCCTAAGTTTACATTACTACCTATTACTACCTACAATAAGGAGCGGTCAGCTATGATAAAAATAGTGTATGCCTAAAAGTATGCTTATATATTTTTGTACAAAAATTAAATTAAATTCCCTTGAATTTTAATTTTTAATGTAGATTTATTTTTCAAGATGTTATATTTACTACATGTTTTCTGGATCATATAGTCATTGAAAATCATTTCCAAGCTACTCAGCTAGCTCGTAGCATTTCAAACGCTCACCGTTTCAGCACACACATTTCCATCACACTTTTATCACAAAGTATTTCAAGGAATTGTATATTTCCAATCTTTTATTCCGCTCAAACAAGATGACTTCCTTGCTGGATACGCCGATAGTATCCATCTACGACATGATGGTGGAACGTCACCTGAAGATGCGCCGTGAACTAAAGGATTCAGTCAAAGGAGCAGCTAAAGAAAAGTCTGCAGTTGCCGAGGTGAAGAAACCAATCATTAAATCCAAACCCTTACCGATGAACTTCCCCCATACTCCGAAACTCGAATCACCATCTCCGCCGCCGGCAAATGCGATAACTGCTGCACATTTGACCAAAAAGCAGACTTTCTGGAAGGTCCAGCCGCCCACGGAGAAGGAGGTGATCAAGAAGCTGGTCGAGAAGATGGTCAAGGGTCGTGGCAAGTCAAGGCCCATGACCCCAAAAGATTGCAAGTCGGGCAAGAAGACCAGTCCCAAGTTGGTGCTTACCCCTCATCGCAAGAGGAACATGACCGGAGCCCCAGGATTGTATCGTGGCAAGCAAAAGCTCAGCAAATCCAATTCCACTGAGATGAAGCGTCTGCCCCTTTCTCCAAGAAAGGTGGAACCTGGACAGAAGAAAGAAGCTCCAGTACCGCCGCCCAAGCCGGCGAAAGTGAAGAACACGAAGATTCCGGCCGAGAAGTTGGTTGCTCCAAAGCGAAACCCCAAGTTATTAGAGAACACTACTACTAATAATGCAGAGGTTCATATCCGTAAGCGCTGGCGTCTTTAAAAACTATAGATGATTGATCGTTAAGCATATGACACAGTCAATGCTCCATTGTTATTACAAATTGTTGTTTAGTAGTCAGAAGAATTAATCACAGGTCTCTTATATGATGTACCTAAATCCCACATGATGGCGATCTAAATTCGAAATGTACTTCAATATATGGTTTTATCTAGTTTATATACCTGTATAAAAGTTATAAAAAATTAAAAATAGTTTCTTTGGTTTTAGACTAAATCAGCGGTCGGCAGCTTCTCATTAAGGTGCTGTCTCTGCCGCCACACAAACAGTGTGAAAATAAAAGATACGTTGTGAAATGTATCTAAATCACCATTTCTTTAAACACTCTTGCTACTTTAGCACCCCATTTATTAAATCAAACTTTTGTTTTTTAATTTTATTTATTTGTTTTTATAATAAATTAGAATTCTCATTACTGCAGCTTAACATTCGGTTTCTTATTCTTGTATGTTCTGTTTACTAAGCCTAACTTGTGACACAAATTTTAAGCCAATTTTGCTAAGGGCCAAATTAATTTGACAAGAATTAGTTTTTAGTGTGGAATAAACCAATATTTAAATTTGCTTTAGCTTAGACCTAAATGTAATTTGCTTAAATATTCTGCTTTACTTTCTGTTCTCCCTCTCCTCACTTTCTTCTTGTTCTTGTTTTTCCTTTAGCTCTTGTTTTGTTTATTTTCGCTCTGTTAATTTAAAATGCAACTACTACGGACTAACAATACTTGGCCCATATACATGGTACATATTTATAGTGTATATAGAGTATGCCATAATGGGTTTTAATCTTGCCATGCGTTTTAGATTGAATAGTTTGAAGTATCTGGTATCTGATTCTTGTATTTGTATTCGTATCGGTATAGTCTGTAAAAGGGCGCCAAAAATGGGTAAAGGTAAAGAGTTAGGAGAAGTTATACAAAAGAACGAAAACATTGCTCACAATTGTTTCGATTGGTATTACAAAAATATTGTACACAATAAATATTTTGTATAATCGTTTTTATCAAATTTTCTCTAGCCATATACTGGCAATTATATTATTATTATTAGTTATAATTAATATACTCTCCAGTTTGCCAGTTTTGCGCTTGCTCGACATTTAAATGAATTTTCTAAAACAAAAATTCAGGGCGCTCTCTCGTGATTTGTATCGGTTTTTGGTATGTTGTGAGATATGAAATACTTGAGGAATTTGTAGATACATTTGTCTAAAGCAAAGCCAAGCAAACAGGTGCTACACGTAAATGCCGTGGTAAAAACAAAACAATTGCCTCTAATCTAACTAAAATGCAGCTACTTATGACATAAATTACACTGCGCTTTTCTTACGGTTAAAACATAATCATAAATGTGTATAAATGACATATTGGCTTGTGTCCTCCGATTTTCTTATGTGTGTGTTGGGTTTGTGACTAAATTTTAGTTGAATTTTAAATTCAATTTCAGAATTTTCTTGGTGGCTTTGCTCTTGGCCCAAAACATTGCATTGGGTGTTTTCCTAGCTTGTCTAAGACAATTGGATTGGATTAATTTAACTTGCACAATATTATGTTTTAATTATTTTACTGCTAGCGTACAATGATTTCAGCCAAAGTTCTTTCAGTCTGAAAAACGAAAAAATATTTGAGTAAACGGGTTAAAAGCAAACTTAAGGTTCACCACATAAAAAGCAATCTACAAGGAAGCAACTAAGATAGAAATTAGTCGAACATAAAAGGGGTTAGTTGAGAGTGAATGAGTACTTTCTACAGAGGAAAATAAAAAATCAAAATTACTTACAAAATTACAAAGTTTTAACAGTGAGTTTTGTGTGGTGCCTCCTTTCTCTTTTTCTATGTATCTAAACATTTAAATTTTGTTTGCGGGTGGACCGAAATGATTTTCATTACAAAATGTGTTGGCCTGGAGTTTGCTCTACGGAATACAAAACTTATCTCTAAAGAATTGTCAACTCTGGTTGAGATAGATGTTGGAAAACATAGGTTAAAGCTTGCATTTGGCTACACGGAATTTTCCACATTTATCTCTTCAGTCAGTGCCAGAGAAAACGAATCTCAACCGAGGCAAATGAACATGCAACAATTCGGGGTTTTGTGTATTGCTAACTAAGAGATCAGTAACAAATGCCCGCTAGCGCAGTGCGTTTCAAAACTTTCAGAACGTTTAGGAATCTCATAGAAAAGTATTAAGAAACAAATTCGTTTTTAGGCAAGCAAGTAAACATCAACTAAAGCACAACCGAATGGTATATAAACCTTTTCTCATATTCAGTATACAAAAATAAAATATCTACTTAGTTATTAAGTTATCAGAATAAATGGAACAATAATAAAAATTCTTAATTTACATTATATAGAACTAAAATATGTTCCAAACAATTCAGTTATCAGAATGAATGGTTCAATAACAATAGTTCTTTCTTTGCAGAACATAAAAAACTAAGGTATCAATTAACTAATTCATTTATCAGAACGAATTTAACATTTTTGACTTATCCATATTGCCCTAAAACCTCCCTGCAGTTATGAAACGCACTGCCAGTATACATGTGTGTGGTTGTGAGTGTTAGGATTACAATTAGTGGTCGCCCTTGCTGTTCGCCGAAGTCACTGTTCGCTGCTGTTAATCACCGTGGTAATGAGATGCTTAGAATTCAGTGTGCACCGCCATCGACATCGCCTCAATGCTCTGACGCAGCTGGCCATCGTTGTAGATCTTTTCGCAGACAATGCTCACCTTTTTCAGCAGCTCGATGGCGGTCTGGAGCACCTGCTGCCACTTGTGCAGCTCGTTCTCGTGCGCCATCTCCTGGTCGCGCAGCAGTTCCAGCCATTCCTGATTCGTGCTCGGTAGCTCACTGAAATGGACAGGTCAATTTGCATACTATTAAATCAGTTTGGCTTCAAAATGGGGTGGATGTCATAACGCCCAGTATAACACTTTCAAAAAGCCCACGGGCGTTTTGGTACTGTGGATTATCACATGCACCCCAAGCATTTGTGAAAGTGTCACGCCTGGGGGCGTTATGACACTGGGCGTTATAACATGCACCCATCAATATGCTATTTACCTCAGGGCGCCCAAACTGGGCAGGCGAGCCCGCCGACTGAGATCCACGTCGATGCGGTCCTCCAGCTTCCAGAGCTTAAGTAATAATATCACATTTAATGCCAGCATCAAGCAGAGCAACAGTATAACCAACAACCACAAGCCCTTGTGTCTGAGTCTGTGACCCTGTGAACCGAGGTGACCCGTCGCCAAGGCCTGGCCGTCGCCGCCGCCCAGGTGCAACTGCTGCTGCTGTTGGTGGTGGTGGTGCTGCTGCTTGTGCGGCTGCAGGTGGTGGTGGTGCATCTGCTGCTGGTGGTGGAGCTGCTGCTGCTTGCCGCCCTCGAGCAGCAGCGGATGACCCGAGGCGGCGCCGATTGCCGCCGATGGAACGCCTCCAGGGGAAAGCATTTGCGCCTCTAGGGAGTCACCGACTGGGGCCGCACCGACTGCCTCCTCCAGTGGACGAATCTGGGTGGCGGTACCTGCGGAGAGACGGGGACGAGCGTCGAGAGGAATGGCATATGGCACGGTTAGAAATCAAACCATTCGAACGAAAAAATCGAAATAAACATAAGCAAGATTTGGTGCTGGCAACAGAAACACAACATTAAGAATACAACAAAATATAGCTAGTAATCAAAATAAACTGAAATAAAAAAGCAAATGGGTTATGTTCATGAGGGGCTAGCAATTGTCACAAGGTCAAAAAACTTAGCATTACCAGTAAATAAAATTTTAGAAGAGGAAAACTTCTTTCCAGGAAAAAAATTCGAACAAAAAATTTAGTAAACATTTTTGTGTACAAAAATTTAAGCATTTTTATGCCAATTAGCTGAAACTTTCCCTAGGAATTATCAAAAACTTATGAAAGAGCGCTAGCGAGCAAAAGTTGAATGAAGAAAACATGACGAAACCTTATCGAAGCTTGATAAAACAGTCAAAAGTAATCATTACAAGTCGAAAAAATAAATTGATTAATAAAAGGAAGCATTCCAAAGGAAGGTTGAAATTCGTGAAACTGTTTTATGATGGGTGACTTGGTTATATCAACTAACAGCTCATAAATCATCGACAATGCCTGTACTATACTACTACTACAACTATACTAAGACTAGCACTGCAACTTACAAATGGAAGTACCTCAAATAAATTTATAAACACTACTTTACCTAGAGTTTTCTCCATCACAAAAATATACTTTTAAAAGAGGTAGCTCCTAACTCTTCAGCTTGCCCTGCAGGTGCCATTTTTCTTGTCTGCATTCGCTTGTTAGATAAGAAACAAAATAATCTGCTACCTAGTGTCTTTAACTGATAAGCTGACAACCTTTATAACTCCTGTTCAAGTAAGAAACTCAGATAAATGAAGCCGAAAATAAATTTAGATTAACTAATAAAGAAAATTCGGAGTTTACAGGTGCGAACACTGATAAGATTAGCAGATCCTAAAGCTATGTATTCTGTATTATATCAGACAAATAGATAAATTCCTATTATTTTAAAGTTCTCTTTATATAAGTAGGTTCCCTTGTGGCAATTGCTAGTCTAAGGAATCCAATTACTCAAGCTGTACCTCTGCTGGACTGAAGTATAGCCTTACGGTGATGCCAATGGGGATGCTGGTGATGATGGGGAAGCGGAGGCGATGGCTGATGATGATGGTGGTGGTGGGAGTGCCTGGGATCGTGGTGTTGATGCTGGCTACCGTGGTGATGGTGGTGGTGATGGTGCATGTGCAGGTGCTGATGCTGGTGATGCTCGTTCTGCTGCTGCTGCTGATGGGGATGACGATGACGCGACTCTTGGATGCTGTCATTGTCCGTACTGGTTGCTGTGTGGACAGCACCTGTTGCAATGGTGTTGTTCGATGTGGTCGAGGTGGCGGTTTGCTGATTCATGCCTGAGATGTATGTTGGTTGTAGCTGGTTGTTGGTTCTTTTGGTTCTTTACATGTTTGGATGTTTAGTTGTGGACATGCGTGCGTTTTTGGTGTGGTTAGAAGAAGCAATGGCAATTGGCATTGGCAGTTATCGAATTTTAGTTCTGATTGAGTAGTATTTTCATTACAATATTAGAGAGAAATTGCTTTGCTTTGTTGCTGTATTTTCTGTTGTTCTTGTTGTTGTGGTTGTTGCATTGTAGTTAATTGGTTACAGTGACTCAACTCGCGATGCTTACCTCTCCTGGGCCTGCGTCCCTTTCCCTTCGCAGGTGGAATGCAGGTCTCGCTCTGAAGCGCATGCAACTGGGCGCCAAAGAAGTCCTCCACTCCCGCCCACGTGTTCTTCTCGATGAAGCCCTTAACAACGCCCCAGATCGACTTTTTGTACTTGATCTGGGTGTGAATCGACAGCATAGTGTGATCATCAACAGTTCTAGGAAAGGGAACCAAGTGGCCAATTAGAAAAGTTCAAGAGTGATGACAAAATGACACCTATGCACTGCTAATCAAAAAGCGCGTTGGCTGACTCACCTAGCCAGGCAGAAGTGTATGAGCACACTGAAACTGTCCGCGTATGGAATGCCTGCATTAACACTGTTTACGTCTATGGAATACAGTTCGCCCGGTTTGCTGCACTCCCGCTGCGTCTGGTACTCGGTTACCTAAGGGGAATCAATAGATATGCATTTGACAGTCAATTCATTTGTTCTATTCCATTTTTAGGGGCGGCGATGCACACTCACCTTTGAGGTCTTGGGTCCCACAGAGGCGGCCAATTGAACAGTGACGTTCACAGTGCGCGTTTGGAGACCCTCCTCGTTCTTGGTCCACTCGCCAATCGAAAGGTCCGTTGACTTGCGCATGGCATGGAAGTCGGTTATGAATTTCGACTTGCTGAACAGCATATTGAACAAGGTGTCCACATTGATGGGCAGAATGGTGTGGACGATCTGGCGGCCCTCGTGCGTCGAGGTGCACTCCGTGGTGGGCACAAATCTGAGCAGGTAATATCAATATAATATTATTAAATATTTAGGGATAGATAATTTGGTAAAACCTACGGCAAATTGTTCTCCTCGGAGTCGGAAGAATCAGAGACATCTGTGGGCACACTCTCGGCATTTTTGACCTCTTCCCGCTGGCTTCGATGGTTCTTTCCCATCTTACGCTTTATTTCCGGCTTGGACTCCATGGCTGGTGGCCCGGCAGTAGCCAGGGATGTAGCAGCTGCTATGGCGGCAGAGTTAGAGACCGTGCTGACCTTCTTCTCCAGCGCCTTCTTGTCGCTGCCACTGCCGCTGGCCGCAGCAGTGTTTGAGCCCGATATAGATCCCGATCCGGAGCCAGAGCCCGTTTGGTTGGCAATGGTGGAGGAGGAGGCTGTGGTGGAGCCGGCAGTGCTGCTGCTGCTGGCACTAGGAGCGTTCATGGTTACGCTCACCGAGAGCTCCGTTGGCTTCACGGAGCTGAGGGTCAGCTCCTTGGCATTCTGCTTCATCTTCTTGTTCAGTTTGCGAGAGCTCTCCCTGGTCTTATTGTTATCCGACCCACTGGCCGAGGCGTTGGCCGAGGATTTGGAGGAGTTGAAGAAGTATTTCGTCTTTGACTTGCGGGGGGCAGAAGCCCGGACACCGCCGCCGCTGCTGGCGCTGCTGTTGCCGCTCTGGGGAAGCGCGGGATTCGACTGGTTGGATTGATTCGACTGCTGTGACTGGCGCTGCGACTGGCAATCCTCATCGATGGCCGTGTGGAAGTCGAAGTCCGTCTCGTTGTCGTTGTCCAGCGTGGGATCAATGTAGTCCTCGTCGTCGGTGGTCAGGCCCAGCTCCTCGCCGTAGCAGGTGTGCACATGCTTCCAAATCTCCTGCGCCGAAAACGGCTTGTTCATCAGCGTGTTCTGCCAGACGCGGAAGAGCATCAAGAAGCTCTTGTCGCGCGAGGTGAACGTGGCAAAGAAGTACTTGTCCTTGCCGCTGGTTATCGATATGGCATTGGGTATCACCAGGGCCGTCTTCTCCTTGGTAATGGCCGTCACATCCTTCCACTTGATGCTCACATAGGTCTCCCAGCTGAAGATGTTCGCATGGAAGCAGACGTAGTTCTGTGACACATACAGTCGCCCCTGGACGAGAATGTCGCGTTGCAGGGCACACGAGTAGTCTGCGGAAGAAGATAGTCGCTTAAGTTAATTGCTTCAATTAGGGTTTATTACATTAACCGGAACTCATCGTTGATTACACTTTTTAGATCATTTAGCTGAGACAACTTTAGGTTAGATTTGTTTAGACTTCATTTTTTATAAGTATCAGATAAATATAGTAATGCAGTCCAACATTTTATTTTAATTATATTTTATTGCTCATTATTTCCTGAATTGTTTCTTGAATTGTTATTTGTGACTCAGAACCCTTTAGAATTTTTAATGGGTTGTTCATTAAGAATCATATTTTTGAATTCACTTAACAATTAAATGGAGACTGATATATACAATCATCCTTATCAGACAGAATTTGCATGTGACTCAATTGATTAAGTAAAAAACGAAGGTAATGGGCTGTTTCGAGGTCAATCCCCCCAGACTCACCCACAATCAGGCGCTCATCGTTGGGCACGTCCTTGAAGAGCTTCTTGAAGTCCTCGGCCCGCGACTTGTAGTTGGGATAGATGACGTTGTACCAGGACTTCTTCTTGGCCCGCTCCGATAGCCTAGACGGCTTGGCCGGCTTCTCGTTGGAGGTGGAGCTGCTGCTGGTCAACTGTTGGTCCCGGTCGACGCGCAGCAGGCTCAGCTCGTGCTGGGTGAGATCGCTCAGGCGGTGGTGCGAGATGTCCTGCTGGGAGACAAGCGAGAGGGAGAGCTGATCAAATACCATGAGGATATCCATTTATTTCCGTCTGCAGTGGCGTGAGCAAACATTTTGGCTCTAAATTAAGTTCGATATCGGTTGCCTTTGGCTTTTTGGCCACCTGTTCCTACCAGCACTCTGTTTGTTAACTCTTTTCCGCGCCGGTGAGTCACACCCTATCGTAGGAAAGTCTCTTTGGGCCAGGTGTTTGGTTCTACTTCTTATCACACCACACGCTTGTCGTTCGTTTACGACCCCTAATTATTTACACAAAGTTCGCTGCAATGCTAGTTTTTTTTTTTTTTTATTATTCGTTTTGGTCACTGAGACGCTTCGTCGCTCATTGAATTCTAATTTGCCATTGCCAGCCGGGCCAACGTCAATGGAGGAGCTCCGGACACGAAGCGTTATCATTACTGGATGGCCGGAAAAAGCTTGGGCCCCAAAACAAAATTTATGTCGCGAGCTTTCGCACCGAAGGGTGAACCTTATCAGCTGGGGTGAGAGGGTATCTACCACATATGCTCCTTATCAGCCAGCTAGATTAGATTGAGCTGCTCGGTGTTAGATAGCCAATATGCAGCTATTAATCCCAATACCCCACGTCTATCTGTCGGCCAATTGGCTATCTATTCAACTTTCTATCTGTCAATCGCCTGATCGATTGATCTATTGATCGCCGTGTATTTAACTTGATTTGAACACTCAGCTGCGGCAATTTCACACCTTTTTCGGGGTGTGCGTTGTGTTGGGCTAACAGTTAAAATCAACAATTTGATAGTTTCGAAAGCTTGCCTAGCTTTTCCCTAGAACTCAAACAAAAAATGGAAATAGTTGGGGTTTTCTTGACTAGCCCTTCATAGTCATAAAGATATGATAGGGGTTTGAACTTGAAAATATTTTGGTAAGGTTTGGTTTTTAGCGTTAGGAACTTATAAAAAAACGTGTATTTATAGTGATCAACAATTAGTTCATCGTAACAACAAACAATCTGGGGGTTCTTCTAGGGTTATCTATTCAGAAGCATAGAATCTTTAGCTTTAAAATACCAAAACTACAAAATGGGACATTAAAAGTTTATGTTAATAGCGCTTGAAAAACTATAAATAAATTTAAGAGAGAGAGATTGATAACAAAACTTTTACATTGTCTTATCATTTTTAAAATTAAATATATATATTCAGAAGTCACTCCCTATTTTGTTCAAACCTCTTTATGATGCCTAACCCAGGCAAATAATTCAGCCCATAAAAATTGGGTTTATGCAAAAAAAAAATTTAATTACGTGCGAGTGACGTGATTATTTAAATTTATACAATTGATAAAAAAAAAATACGTTAACTGAAGAGCGCAATATGTGGGGATATAGCAAAATAGGTCTATAGCAAGTTGATTCATTTAATTTGGAATTTAGTTGGTTGAACGTATTTTGAATTATCATGCTCAGAGGTAACAATCAAAAATGCCGTCACCATTCTGGTTTATTCTACAAAACTTTGAACCCTAATAAATTCTATAAATATTACGACTTTAATTTTGGAAAATGATGTGTGAGGTGTATAAAAACGTAAATAGCTTGGTAAAAGAAAATTGGTTACTAGTAATATTTGCTTTAACACGATTCATAAAAAAAATTAATTAAATATGTGTGAATTTATTTCATTTAAATGGTAACTTTAATCCCATTTCCTGTCGCTCTCCACTCACCTCATCGCGTCCGCTGCTGGATGTGGATAGCTTGGCCTGGCTGGCCTTGCCCTTGGAGCTGGTGGAGCTCTTCCGGCTAGAGGGACTGTCCCCAGGAGCAGTAAATCCGTTGGATTCGACGCTCTGCGACTGTTGTGGTGGCTGATCCCTGCTCGAATCGCTGGACACGATGTTAATGCTGGGCGTGGCTCCCGAAGCAGCGGTGTTAGCGGCACTCGAACTGGAGCCAGGACTTGTGGAAGTGGCGGCCTGGTTTAAACTGAGGTTGCTGCCGTTGGATTCATTGGCACCTGGAGCTGCACCAACTGTCGGCGGCGATCCGCCAGCTGTTGTGGAAGCGTTCTGGTTGGAGGACGTCGATATGGAGACGCTGCTCTGCTCGAGGCTGCCGGCAGCTTCCTGAATGGTCAGGAGTTTGTTGCTCAAACTGCTGTTTGTGGTGCTCGTTATGGTGATCTCCTCGGTGATCGAATCGCGCCTGTAATTGGTAAGTGGAGTAAATATTATTAGCCGCTCAACTGTGCACTCCAACTACAGCTACTTCGATTAAATGGAAAAACTCTTGAACTAGGCATGCAAATTTGGAAGGTATGATGAATTCTCTTACGGAATTGGACCCAAGCCTGGCTGGAGAGTTTCCGGAGCAGTGATCCCACCTACCTGTCGCCACCATTATTGCTACCAGCCGCGTCCGCCTGCTTCGCCTCCTCCTCCGGCTGCGATTGCTGCTGGGGATCGGTTTCGGGATTATCCTGTGCCTGTGGGCACTGTGACTGCGGCGATTGCGATTGCGATTGTGACTGGGATTGGAGCTGGAGCTGGGATTGTGTCTGTATCTGTGACTGTGACTGGAGCTGATCGGGCTGGGTGGTCTCGGGTATCATGTTGGCATTACTACTGCTCGAACTTTCGGCAGTCGTAGCGGTTATGGTTACACTTGATGTTGTTGGGTTGGTTATATCACTATCTTTAATCCTACAATAAAATGCATATATAAAAAAAATCAAAATAACAAATGCCAAATCAAAAATCATGCCCAAGACAATGGAACAACAGGAGCAACTAAATCAGATACATCTAGCAAAATACTTAGGGGCATTAGAAACAGAGGAAGGGGTAGATTGGAAGGAGAGATCTGATACTAATAAAATCTACAGTGCTACAAAGCTTACATTTTGAATGGGTTAAACTAAAAAGACCTTCACTTCCCACAACAATTGAGGACGATGAAATTCGAAACTATTCAAGAGTACCAATTAAGACCAATAATTCTATTGGAGAGTTTTTTGTTTTTGGACTAACTTTAAAAAAAAGATATGTTATAATACAATAAAAGTTCCTTTAAGACCTTACCTATACCAATGCTAAAATGCTACAAATCATTGACACTAGATTGCAATTTATTGAAGAAATTATTTTCAAGTAAATCTGATTAAAAACGACAACAGGTGGAACCACTTCAATTTGTATATGCAACCATATAATTACTTATTTTAAGTCGATTTAGGTAAATGTTGCTTCCAAGTTAGGAACTTTAAAAAAAGTGGATAAATATAGAAAAAATAGTGAAAACCTTTGAAAAATTCTTAAATTCTGGTAATGTTATTAATACCTGAAGAAAACTAAAGATCTCATTATTGTTACGGAAAATTACAAGAAATCTTCAAATAATCGATACATTGTATATCATCACAATTTCTGAGTAATTTATGAGCACTTCCTAGGAACTAGATGGGACGTCAACGTTTTAAGTTATTGCTGCAATTATAAACCATTTTCTAAAGTTCAACGGCTAATCCGACCAGTGCTTCTGGCAATTAACAAAGAACCATTAATGTTTCCGCAGCACAATCTATCCATTAGTCACTGCCTCGATAAGGGAGCCCCAGATGGTTAATGTGAGGTCCTATCGACAACTGTCAATTGGCTTGTTAGTAATACATTGTCGCCTCTTAACTGATCGGTGGCTTTCAGTACTTTCTCTCTAAATTAATTTCCTCTAATTGTTTGCCCCGTCGATAGCACACACACACACAATAAAAGAATTGATAGTTCCGCGGGAACTAAAGAGGCCATAGATCTTTCCATACCAAAGAACCCGGTGTTTCCGACTTTTTCGCAACGTTCGCCGCAACATTTTCGACGCGTTTTTATACTATATATATGTTATTTTCAATTAGACGTGCTCTCGCCTCAGTGGGCTGCGACGGAATGGTGTACCAATTGCCATTAAACGATTGTAATCAATTCTATTGTGCACTACTCTTCTACTCGGTGTGGGCGTGTATGTGTTGTGCCCCACAATTGTTATTATTTTCTTAATACATATTTCCATATATATATACTCCCATATTCGTATACTAGCAGCCGCACTGTTTGGCACTGATAAGAACGATAAGATACTCCCAGCATTGAGCTTTGGTAAAGCGTTTAATGGTCAGGGTAAGTCGCTTTTCGTGTGTATTTGTTCAAACAATAAAGGCTAAAACGATTTAACCCAGTTCCCCAATCTTTGTTGAGCCTGAAAACCGTTTATTCAATGAATTTTTGCAAACATTTTCAGTGAAACACCTGCTTATTAAAGAGCGACTGCACTTAGAACACATAAAATGCTATATATGCAAATTAAGCCATGACACAACCAACTTTAATGATTTTTTAAGCTTTTTCAGTTCCCAAGTACTCGGACAGGTAGTGTAATATACAACCTTAATAACCGCTCTAAAGATAATCAGCCTTATCAATGAACCTTACATCAAGGACAAAAAAGTCTTTGTCTGGTAAATATAAGTACTTCCCCTATTTACAGAAGTCTTTATAAATATAAGTACGAGTTTCCGTTTTTCTCACTCGACGTTTATATAGAGATCGACCCCCAAGGGACTCGACTTAATTATTCTTATCAATAGAACTGTTCAAGTTCATGAGAAGTATACATATTTACTGGAACACAGGGCATTCGAAGCACATTGCGAATCGAGTAAACAAAATTGAGAGGAGTGAAAACCATTTAATGACGAACATCATTAAATGAGTACGTACTTGTAATTGCAAAAAGTCATCTCAAATGTGTGAAAGATCAGAGATAATGTAATGGATTATAATGTATATATAGAATTTATATCATGTGCTTAGGGGGAGTTCAGGGGTTGTGACGGCTTTTCGAGATAAGACTCGAAGTACTTGGGTTCCATTGATTGATCTTTAAATACTTTTCAGAAATTCTGATGAAAAAAAAAACCCTAGAAAATAATTTGCTCCAACAAACCACCTTAATTGACGTAGTACTGGTTTGTGGAGAAAATTCTGCGAATGTAGAAAACATTCTAGATAAAATTCTCGTGATTCAAAGCTATTTATAGCCTAAACAAACGTCATTTTAGATAATTAAGAAGATAATTTACTAGGCATTGTATTTGGGGGCGGATAAGTCGTATGGTTTTTATTTGTTCTAGGCACAAAACAATAATATTTTGAATTAACTAAAACGAATTCGCGGAATTTTTGGTGACTATATGATGTTTTTTTTTGATATACGAACAAATCTTTGGGAGGGAAATTGTGTGACTAAACCTTAGCGAAACTTTTCTACGTGCGAATTTGAATAGAAACTTATCAATGGGAAATATCATTCAGAATTCATAGCAATTACTTATATACTGTATATCAATTATTTCAACAGACTGTTAGTTATCATTACGAATGAAATTGCACCGGCTGTAGATCTGAATAATAGATATTTCTCCCCCTTGAACTTTGTCCTTCGGTTTCGAAAAGTGCTCCATTCGTCAGAGAAGCCGGATTACGAATGCATTTCCGACATGAAAGGCCACTGGCCATAAAACTAAGTAGCCGGCCCAAGAAAACTACTTCAACTACGGGTAGTAATTGCTATATTACCGACACCGAATTGAGACCTCTAAACCACTTAAACCCGGAGAAAAATCAATAGTGAAGAGCGAAAAAGTATTACATTTTCTTTCGCTTGGCTTTCTTTGGTTCCACATTCAGTGTTTTCCTCGGCGGCTTCTTTATTTCCTCCTCCGGCATTGGTTAGCTGCTTTGCTACGTATTGTCCAACCGAGAATCTATGTCATCGCTGAGGAACAGCCAAAAAAAGTGTCCAAAAGTGGCCGAGTCCGGTCTTTGCCAGCGCAAAAAAAAAGTGATGACGAAACGCAAAAACGTAAATACAGCAAAAATTATTCGTATTTTTAGCACTGCTCGGCGAAATGTCATTAATTTATGAACTAGCCCACAGACAGTCCAACGTTTTGCTGTTAATTATTTAATTAATTTTCCGTGTTCAGTTTAGCTTTGTCGTTTTGTTATTCCTCTTTGTTGATTGTCATTTGTTTTTTGTTTGTTTGTTTGTTGGTTGGTTGTTGTTTAAGGCACGCGATGGCGAGATATAGGAAATTTAGAAGGTAGAATAGAGAACAGAGCACTGAATATCGAAAAGCGGGAGCTCGTGCCGGGCACGTCATCCCAGCTCGACGTTCCGATTTGCACTCGAGAGCAGCCGCCGAGAGAATAATGGCAATCCCCCGGTTTTGTTTTGCTCGGGGTTGGAAAATCAGACCGAGATATAGGAGACCATTGAATACGCTAGCCGTATTACTATACTGATAAAAAATATTATTGGATATAATACACCTTTTTCTACAAATTCATAATATTTTTGGAGAGACACAAAGATTTAGGAAACCTTTAAATACAAAAGACGTATTACTCAAGATAAAAGTAATATTACAATATAATAAACATAATGACACTTGTTTTGTCCTATTTTATAATATTTGTTTATAACCGTTTTAACAATTTTGTAAGGTACCAAAATATCTGTACGGTTTGAGGTTTATGTACGGATATACGTAAAGTCCATATAACTCCCCAGAAGCCAAACCAACTTCCTTTAGGTGGGTGGCTATGCAAATGCATATTTACAGCAGATAGATAACCTCCTACGAATATTTCACCACATATATGTACCAGCCAAGGCTAATCGAAAATGCTTTTTATTTTTTTGGCCTACGTGGAAAACGCTTCAGTGCACAAAACACCATTTGTACATTTTGGTGGCTATATGTAAATACAGTGGGTGTGCAAGACTATAAAATGTTGGGAAAATGTAGAAGTCCTTGAGAACTGGCCAATTACTTTTTTAATGAGAGTCTTTAAATTAATATAAAAAAGTAATACTAAGTTGAAACTAGCTCAAAGAGCTGATTACTATAGCGTATTTTTAGTACAGTAGTTAAACTAGGAATTTCGTTGAACCTGTGAACTTTTGCTCAAGTAATTGTAAATAAAAACGCTTTGAAATCGACAATAAACATTTGGATGAACTTAAATGGATTTGGCTAGTTTCAAAATAAATTAATTTCATTCCCTTTTATCTTCTTTTCAAACTAAAGTCGATAAACTTTTTAGAACGCCAAAACCTTCCATTTGCTATTTAAATACAGCTATTGTTTATTTTGTTATCTATTAATTTAAGTACAAAAATGCTCCTATATTGAGTTCATTCACTAAATTAACTGATAGCCAGCACAGTGCGATGATAACCCAAACACATTTGCCGTCCTACTAAAGACAAGAGAGTTATTGTTTGTCTACTGGCTCTGTTCTTTTCGTTCGAACCCTCAGTGGCCACAAAATCGATATTTTAAAGCGCCTTACAGCGACGAGACGCAATGTACCTCTCCTTTCTGTCAGGCAACTGTTGCGCAATAAACGCAAATGCTATCAAAATGCAAGGAGTGTAAGAGGTGTGGGGCAATTAGAATGGGGCAAGCACATTATCACAGATTTAGGAGGGGGTTATCGGGGTGGCAGATAAACCAAACTGAAAGGAACAAAGAGGGGCTTATAAACGACATGCAATATGACTAGCGACGGGCTAAACATGCAAACCAGCGGGCAATCCTACACCACAAATTAACACGCTTAACTCTTAGGTTTCGTTTACACAGAAAGAAATTGGATTGAGAATGGGTGTGCTATTTTCGGAGATCTAAACTCATTCCGAACTTCAATAGATATTAGCTTTTGTTCATATAATATCAAGTTAAACCTATTTGGTATATCTGTATTATATAAACAAGTTTTATTATCATCAAAAGTTTTTGTTAATTTGGAATATAGTAGATATAGCTTTTATGTTTTAATCAATCCTAAGTCCTACTTGTACTTTACTTTTGTTTTAACAAATTTGAAATACATTTTAAATTATAAAGTGAATCAGTAAACTTTACTTTGTTTGTTAAATCTTTAAACTTAAGATCATTTAAAAGTATATTTATCAATTCAATCTTATTGAGCACATACTGTTAAAGTAGTCTATACCATTACAAAAAAGTCCTTCCTTTCACCCAATTTCTTTCCGTGTAAAAGCATAAACTTTAGATTTTTTGATTAGTTTATTGGACAGTGGGCGTGGCAACTCACATGGGCGGCGCATTTAGGCTGGAGGTGCGTTTGTGCTTGCCCTGCGAAGGACGATGGAAGAAGCTATGTGCGGTGGACAAGGACTTGGGCAGGGCCCCCTGGCTGGAGGACTTGCGCAGGGCCACGAAGCGGGAGCCGGATCCCAATCCCAGGCCAGATCCCGATCCCGATCCTGATCCCGAGCCGGAACACGAGGAACTGGAGGCCAGCGAGGAACTCGACGAGGAGGCGGAGGACTTGTGGTGCTGCTGTTGTGCCCGCTGCTGTGTGACAAAATGCATGACAGCACGGCACACTTGGCCGCTCCTATTTTCCTTCGCTGTGCTGTACTGCTTGTTCCTTGGTTTTGTTTATCGAATCACGCCTGTTTATTTGTTTATTCCATCTAATTCTTTTTTTTTCTGTGGCACTTGCTGACGTCTGCGGAAGTTAATTTTTACTTGGGTTTTCGGGGTCGCATAGTTGAGGAAAAATCACTGACACATTGGAATATTAGCGGTTGTTCAGTTTTCACGCCGTTAAATGCGGTTTTAGTTTATTTTAGATGAGATTCAAGGGTTAAATTCAGGAGTTCAGGTTCGTCTGCCCACCGAGAAATTTTGCTCATAAAAGGTATACGTCGCGGACTAAGGGTTGCTAGGTGTGCCGAAGACCAGACGCCGCTCTATCAATCCAGGTGCTTTTACACCGCTTTGCCATTTAATTACAGAAAAATATCTTGTTTAGCAGGTTCCCAGCTTCATTCACTTCCACTTTGTCTTTTTCAGTGAATAAAATGTGTACATAAATTATGCGTAATGCTCGGCACCATGGTAACCCGAAAAACATCGATAGGCGATAAATGCGAACAGCTGTGGGTAAGCTGCTAGAGGTGGTTAAACATCGATGACTGTGGATAAAGAAATTCTAAAAATCTCTCGATAATGTACTTCAACTAGCAGTTGAAATGAAAAAAGACCTATACGAAAAGTTTCCGTCATTACTTCTTCTTTCGCACTCTCTCTGCAAGGCTTTAAAAAGATAGTATATATCGATATTTAAGTCGATGTGTTCCCACCTCCAGAAGCGAAACACTCTACTTCTTGCACTGAATCAACATATCTGGTCACACTGACTTCCGTTAATTTTTAAATTTAAACATTTATATTTTTATAATATCACAAGAAAATTAGAATACACAACACTTGATTCGTTCACAACAAAGTTTGCTCCTCTTGGCGGGAAAGAGACATCAGCAATAGGGCTACTGAAGGCGCTAGAAAGATTAAAAAAATATTATAACTATATTTTAGAAATAAATAAATAGTTTAGGTAAATTAAAAATAATGTTAATGGTTAAAAGAGCAATTATAAATAATACTCAAGCTAAAAAACCGTTTGGTGTCAGTACAATGCTCGAATTTCCGCTTTTTAAAAGTCCTCTAATCAGCGCCAAATCATCGGGTGTTAGGGACCAGCCGGTTAACTGACCCACGGACTGCAATTCTGGACAACTGTCCATTAGTAACTGGAAAAAAATGAATTGTTAATAAACAAAATAGTTATAATAACTACAATCTTACCTCGACAGACTGCACTGTAAGATCTGGCGCCAAAGTAAACCAAACATCCTCCAGAACATTAAAGTCATGCTGCATAAACATGCTGTAAGTTTTAGATTTATTGATTAAGTTTTATAATACAAAATATATCATATATCATATAAATTGGAACTAAGATAAGATAAATAATAAAATTACAATTTCCTACCTCATTATATCCTCATCCGTAAAATCCACAGTGTCCACCGCCAATCTCTTCAGATCCGTGGAATTACAAAGGAAGGCTTTTAATGAACTGTTCATGATCGCACTACTCAGGATCTCCAGACCCTCCAGCTGCTGGAACTTTGCATTTCCTTGTCCGTAGGACAGACTATCAATCATGTAGCAGTCGAGATCGATCAGGGAAGGACAGAGACGAGCCAACTTCCCTAGATCAAGGTTTCCCAATCCCTTGATCATCGTGAGATGACGCAGGTTCCTGCCAATTGGTCGCTCCAAGAGCGGAAGTAACTCAGCCACCACGAATTTGTAGATCTTCAGTTTCCTCAAATTGCGTGTGTGCAGAGCTCTCAGGCTTCCGGTCTTCGGAGAGTCGAGATAAAGGGTTTCCAGCCTAGGACAGGTTTGCATGATCACCTGCAAGGTGGCTTCATCTGTGCCAGTGTCATGGATGTATTTTAAGCGGCACTTGAACCGATCGTCAATATTATCGTGGATAAACTTCAAGGAGGCCCCCACGAAGGAGTATGTGGAGAGTGTCTCTACTTGGGGGCAATGCTCCAGGATTAGGGCAATGTCCGAGTAGCATATGTTCTCCTCTCCCGGCATTCCCACATCCACAACAGTCAGGGATTGTGAGCAGACGCCTTTGGCCAGAAAATCAATTCCGATTTCCGTAATATCAGTCTCGCCAGAAATGTCCAATATCTGCAGGCGTGTGCAGCACTTTCCGATCTCCTCAAGCAACCGGTCGTTGGCTATATAGGGCACATACAGCTTGACCAACTGGTTGCATTTTCTGACTATATCATACATGTAGTGCATGTGCTCCTCCTTAACCCAGATTCCTTTGATATTTAACACCCGTAATCCGGCTCCTTGGGCTGCAATCACCTGGAACAAGAAAATTAATCAATAACAGGTTTTATATGTTATTTTCATTTAAACACCTGCAAGATTTTCTCGTAATAGCTGAAGGGAAACACCTCGGTCATCAGAAAAGTAACCCCGCAGTTGAGCAGCATCTGCAGGCAGGTGAACCTCATGTTGGCGTCCAGGTAATCCGAGCTTAGGATCACCCTAAGCAGATCCTGGTATATATTCGGAGTAGCTCCCAACTGGGAAAGGTATTCATTGAGCTCCACCATCACGATGTTTATGTCTAGATGCACATCCGGAGCATATTGCACATAGCTAATGGTGGACACCAACAAGTTGGCCAGTTCCGCCAAAGCACTATCGCTCAGCGAGCGCACTGTGCACTTTTTCGACATGTCTCTGTTTTGGTTTTTGCCAAGAAGTAAACAAAATGCGACGCAGAAACCGCTGGGAGAAATAAGCAGGAGAGGATTCGTGTTCCTCGAGGTTACATCACTTGGAGAACGGAAAAAGATTGTTTGGTTTTCGGTTCCTTTGGTTAACAATCGAGTTTTCTCCACTTTTCTTGGTAACTATTTAGCTAATTTTCACTTTGGTTGCACATACATATATGTAGGTACCGAATATTTATAAACAAAAATAGATTCTAAAATTATATAGGCGATGGATAGCGTTTTTGCACGCTGCGGACAAACTAGCGAGCCAAACAAGCCAACAGCGCGAACGGAACTGAGAGTCATGGGACGCCAAAGTTTGTTTTTACCCGATTTTATATGCTCACATAGGGGACATGTTTGAGGGTCTATAAAATAAGCAATCAAACTGAATTAACCAGAAAATTTAAAGAACTATTAAAGGAAATTAAAATTGTATAATTCTGAAAACGTTAAAGATGTGTAAAAAGCTTTAGATATTAAAGTAGTATTACCTTGTTCTAATTTGTGGTATAATTATATTATTTATTCGACATCTATGAAAAATAGAGAAATGAAAGGGTATTCTGAAACTGATTACAATACATTTCATTGCCTGTTCCACACAGCCAATAATAAAATCAGTTACAGAAATGCCCTCTAGTGTATTTTCAGAAGCTTAAAGCCATTTAAACTGGAATTTCTTATGCGGTGATGTCCCTTTAATCTCTTTCGTTAAATTCTATATTAAATTACATGGAAATTCGATTGGAATTGAGTTGAAAGAGATTTCGGGGGCATCCCCTATTTAGAGATTTTGGACTGAGATAGAATACTAAGAGAGCGTTGATCTGTCTGTTTTCAGAAGAGTTTTTACGGCTGCAGGTAGCTGGGCAGCTTCATGCGCATGAAGAGCCATGTGGTGAAGAAGGAGACCAGGATGAAGATGAATCCCATGGCGGTGAGCAGCAGACGATTGAGATTTGTCTTTCCCGGGGAGTGGGTTTGGTCCATGATGATGAATCCCAGTCCGCCGACGGTGAACAGGAAGCTGCTGGCCAGGCCCTCCATGATGTACTGCCCATTCACCCGATATGGCATAAAGGCAACGGGACGGGAGTGTCCATGCTCATCCACAGTGGCTCCCACACTGGGCGGCTCCACGATCACGTCGTAAATAATGCCTGTATTAAATAATGCCATAATTAAATGATCTTAATACCAATAATTTAGTAAGAACTCACCGCCTGTCACCAGAAAATAGGAAAACAGTATTACACTAAAAACAGCCATTGGCGAGGGCATTGGAATGCTGAATTTCCGGACCTTGATGTTGGGCGGCACCAGGATGTGGAAGGGCAGATTATAAAGTGTCTCGATCATGTTTTAAATATGTTTTAACAGATTTAAAATCAAAGATATTTAGTTTTTTTCTGGTTTTCGTGGCGGTCTGCCGGCGTAGGCGGAGTTTGTTGTTATCTATCGGTTAGGGATGGTCAATTTTACGATAACTCAAAACTATCGCAGTGCACCTGTCATGCAGTTCACACTATGTTGCATCTGCAGCTGTATCTTCAGCACCTTTATCTTAGATATATTTAACCTAAATATATTTACTTGATTTATTTTTATAATTATTTATATTTTAGTTTTTTGCAGCTCCAACTGGATTGTATTGTACATTTTTTATGGTTCGCATAATATATTTTTTTTCATTCCAGCAACCTCTGCTTTCACAGTGTAAACGCCCTTAATCCATTGGCTGCATATGCAAACGGTCATACTTAGAGATGACACTGTTGCACTCAACTCCTTGCAACGGAGTAAGAAGAAGACCATGCCCTTAAAATAACAAACAAAACGTAACTCCCGAACAAAATAACTTTAAATCAAGGTTAAACAACTAGTTTGCTAGAATGGCGGATGCCAATATCCAAGGAGAAGGTGCGCTGATTGTATTCCCAATGAAATCAAACCGTATTAACCAATTGCATTCCAGGTAAACTGCCGGCAATTGCGAAGAGAGTGCAAAATCTAGGAGACCTAGCCATTTGGCAAAGATCCCGCGCCTACCACGATTTGATAGGCTACATCAATGGCACCAGTTCGGCCATTCAGGGGATCAAGACCACGGACGAGGTTTTCGAGTCGGAAATGCTGAGGAAGCTATTGCGCCTCTTCGATTCCCTGGAGAAATTGGTAGAGCAACATCCTCCTTTGGAGCAGCCCCAGCGGTTTGGCAACAAGGCCTACAGGGATTGGGCCCAGGAGATGCGGGAACAGCTGCCGGAACTGCTGGAGCAGCTGCTGCCCGCCGCCAAGAAGAGATACCAGAACGAGCTAGAGCAGTACCTAATGGAGTCTTTTGGCAATGCCACCAGGATTGACTACGGTACCGGGCACGAGCTGTCCTTCCTGTTCTTTCTCTGCTCCCTCTTCAAGGCCGAGATCCTGCAGGAACAGGACATCGTCAGCGCCGCGCTGAGGCTCTTCAATCGCTATCTGGAGTTCGTCAGGCAGCTGCAGCGCACCTACAACATGGAACCAGCTGGGAGTCAGGGAGTCTGGTCCCTGGACGACTTCCAGTTCGTGCCCTTCATCTGGGGCAGTGCGCAGCTAGCAAGTGGGTTAGAATCCTCCACAGATTTCAATTCTAATTACGTTCCTTTTAGTCAAAAGCCCCTTCGATCCCTCGAAGTTTGTGGACGAGCAAATAATCAGTGACTTCAAGGATCACTTCATGTTCATCAGCTGCATCGACTACATCTGCAAGGTCAAGACTGGTCACTTTGGCGAGCACTCCAACCAGCTGTGGAGCATCACGGATGTGCCCTCATGGGTTAAGATCAATGCAGGCCTGGTGAAAATGTACCAAAAGGAGGTGAGGTCTTTAAGGGAGGCTTCTTGCTAGAGTAACCAAATTAGAGTGTTTTCTAATATTTCTTTATGGTTTACAATGAAGTTTTGTAATAGATGGGAAATAAGATTAAAATCTGTAGAGATATATTTAGTTTAAAACCCAAACTAACTTTCTGAACAACCCCCAGATACTCTCCAAGTTTCCCGTGATCCAGCACGTCTACTTCGGAGAACTGATGGCTTTTGAGCCAGTGTCTCCCGGCACAACCATCACCAATGCCCGACTGGGTCATGTGGCTCCGCCGCCGTCCAAACGCATCTGCATTGGGACTCCAAACTTGGTGCCACCAGTTCCGGTGTCCGCGGCTCCTGCTCCTCCTCCTCCCGCCGAATCTCTGAGCAACGATCTAAATGTGGGCGATTCGAGTAGCGAGAGCAGCGACAGCAGCGTGGTTCTGCGTCCATCAACATCGTCGGCTTCTCTGGTGGCGGCCGCCGAGGGATCAGGGGATAAACCCAACATCCAAGCGGCCCAGGGAGAAGCCACCAAGGAACAGGCGGCAGAGTAGAGGAGAAAGGCGATGATCTAACCTGTGTTACAAATTTCTTATTAATAGCGTTGACCCTCGGTCCAGTAAAACTGTTTACACAAGTAAAAATGTAATTTATTCTGGGTTGCGGAGTGTATAGTTTACAACCTCTGTAGTCTAACCTTTACAAAACCCTCTTGAAACATTTTCTTGGCAAATCTAATTCACTCCATTTAATCCTAATTTTTCATCCCCAAATTACCAAAACAAAAATGTAAATCTTAAGCCGAATTTGATGGAAACAAATGTGCCACCACCTTTTCTCATTTTGGGCAGAAAGAACAAATCTAGGAAGCAAAGCTAAACAAAATCAATACGGCAAATGAGGCATGCAAATAGATGAACTTATAGTACATCAAGTTTTGCGGAGCGAACAGCTTAAAATGAGAGGAAATTATAACAAAAAGTGAAGGAAGCAGGAAAGTGGCAAAATGTAAAACAAAAAAACTTTTGTGGGGAGTCCCCCTGAAAGCATAATCAATTATTTTCGACACATCATTTATCAAACTGTGCGGCAGGAGCCAGCTTGCCACGCCTCCACATTTCGTCACTTAAAAACTTCCTCCGGTATAGTTTTTTCTCACTTATTTTTAGAGTAAATGGAGGGTAGGCAGCGCATGCATTAAAACTTTGCCGACGCATTTTGATTGAAGACTTTGAAGAACATGAAAATGTTTGCTTTTCCTCCTTTGTTTCGGTGCAAAAAGTAGCAAAGAGCGGCCAACTTCGGTCATGTTCATCAATTTGACCCCGCCCATACGCCCCATTTTCGAAATTGAGACTCTTCTTTGGTTCAGTTTCATTTTCAGTTTCTGTTTCGGTGTCGGTTTTGTGTTTTCGCAAATTGAATGAAATTTGCGGGCGAACTGTCAGCAGGCGTTCGAACAAGGACCAAAACATGATTGAAGGGCGGTTGTATGATGGCTGTGATGGAATGGGTGGGATGATGGACCTCTGACCCACTGTAAAATGTGGCTAGCAGGGGGACTGACAAGGTTCAAACCGAGATTTCGGTGTCTCTGACCTTTGGCACAAGACAGTTGCCATGGGAATTTGGGGAAATCAGGGATAAATTTGGAACTGAATGATGGTTTATTACTTCTATTGTCATGTAGGTAGGGGAACTTTATGTTAACCAGTGAGCGAAATTATTCCAAGCTTTATTTTAAAAATAAGGGAGTTTTTTGATTTTAAACTATTTTTGTAAAATATGGAACATCATTAATAGTTACTTATAAGAATTTCTAGTTCCTGAATTTGTTTAGGGTTTAAATTCTTTGTCCATCAGTAGTATCCTGATATCACGTTAAAAACCTTGTGACTTGCCCTCAGTTCAATTTATCCAACTTCCCCCAACTAATTACGAATAAAACCCGTCCGCATCTTGACTTCCTACAAAGAATTTGCGAAAGTTTAAGATTTTCCAAGGAAGTCGAGAAGTGGCAATGGAAGCCACACGGGACCAAAAGAAATCTGCGAAGTGTCTTCAGACTGCAGCCAATACATATAACTGGTACAAAGTTGACGCAAAAACTTGGAGTTATTCGAACTGAAACTAAAACCTGAGGTGGAGCAACTTTGACGTGTGATGGGTGGAAATTAGTTATTGTCTTTGGCAAAATAGTGACCTAAGACACTAGAAAAAAAAAAAAATTTATTCACATATATTACGTTTTAATGTTTAGCTTTTACATTTTTACCTTTACTAACATCAAATCATAAAGCAGAAATTGATTTTTTTATTTTTTTTTTATTAACAAATCTTTACATATGAATATTTATCTTAGAAATGTCCATCAACTTTATGTGCTTAAATATTTTTTAACATATTGTATTTTTCTCAGTGGTCATGAGTGGGAGGCAAAGATTCTTTGTTGCACCTCTTCGATGAGGTAAACTTAGTTCTTGATCAACTTTCGTGTTTTCTTGGCCATAAGCGGGCGAAGTTCAACTTGGCAACTTTGTGTGCGACAATGACCAGAGTCCAACCCCTGACATTCCCGGCTTTCCATCACGTCCTGCAGTCCCAAGATTTACCCACTCCCAAATTAACTTGAGGCAAAATATGCGACTGGCTTTTGGGACCTCTGTTTCTAGTTCTTCGGGTTGCACAATGTTTTCCTTCTGTTTTGCGACTTCATTCACCATTTGTGTGTTTAACCAGCTGACGCCAAAAAACACCCATCCACTCCCACTTCATCTTTCCTTGGCAAGAACAAGGACCCATCCCCAAAAAGGAATACAAGCCCAAAATAATGAATACCAACAAGTTTTCGAAACAGCTTCAGATATTCGAATTTGTTGGTACCCTCGAAAGGTTTGGTATTTGAAATAGATATGGATTTCAGAAATATTATTAATATATAAGATCTATAAATTTTAAAATCATTTTCATACAAATCATGTAGATTTAGGATCATAAGATGAGATAATACAAATTTAATAACATTTTCAGAAAACCAGCAGCCAGTTGATTGCTTAAGGGACGATATAATATAAAATAGTATATATATAATTTTTTACAATTTTTAATCCTTATAGAGCTCATTATACCCTTGCACACCAGAAATACCCCTTGTGTTAAAACGGATAACAAAAGAGTTAAACGTCCCTGAGCCCAACGCATTGTTGGTGCAGAAGTGACCAGAGGAGATGGGATAGGGATCCCAAGTTAGGAGCCTATTGTGTGGTCCCATGTGCCAGGGAAAAATCACCAGGAAAATGGGAAATTGGGGGTGGTAGTGTGACATATGCCAGTTTTTCATCGAGAAACACCAACAGAAGGCGATTGGAAAGCAGATCTGTGAATTATGTTTGAGCTGCTGATGCTTAAATAAGGCTATTGGTAAAGGTTGCTTAAACATTCGAAAAATATGAGCAAATAGGAGTTTAAAGAAGAGTTAAGAGCTAATCGGTAGAAAGTTAAAATATCAAAAATAAATCCAGTGAAGTTAAGTTTATTTCGCTTGGGGTCAAGCAGGGATTGAGTGAACTTTAAGCGCCTGAAATTGGCAGCTCAGCCACTTGAACAATTATT